TCCTTAGTCCCCTCGACTTGTCGTTCGTAGGCTTTTTCCCCCTCCGCATAGCCACAATCTTCAGCGTCGTCCACTTGCTTCTCTAACTCGGCCTTGTGCACTTCTCGCAGTTTCCACAATATATCTGGCTTTGGTTACCTGCAACTCATTTTGCTTGTCCTCCTCCACCCTTGCCAGGCATTCTGCGAGTTGGTTGTGCTCAGCCTCTGCCACCCCCTGTCCAGTCTTCAACTTCTCCAATTCGGTCGTTTTTGCTTTATTATCCGCAATGGCCTCCCACCGACTCTACTGGACAGAAATCATGCGTTCATGAGCAAGATAGTTTTTCTGCACGGCTTGGAAAGAAGCAAAAGTTAGTATGGGGAACCGATAACTTGGAACAAAACCACTTGATTACTTACCAAAACGATTGACTTTGCTGCCGATCGAAGGACTTTCAGATCGGACAGTTCGTCGTGCTTCTTCATGTCTGTAGGGAGAAGTAAACCCTTGGTCATGTTGAAGCTGAACGAACAGTCCTTGTCGGCATATACTGAGTCTGCCACTGACACTGCTCAGCCCTTGGTCTTTTCTTAGACCGACTAGTAGCTTGCTCGCTAGCAAGAGCCAGCACTGGTCTCTTGTCTAGCACGGTTGGCATGGAGGATTGACCCCCAGCAGCTTTCGTAGGTTGAGAGTCGCTCGGCTCACCTATAATCATCAATTTGATAGCGTAGATCTTGGCCATCTCTTGCTCGGCGGTTAAGGGAACTAGTCTAATCGGCAGGAGAGTTGGGTCTGGTTCTAGAGAAGGAGCACGAAGAAAATCGGTGACCCCGCTCTTGCGCGACACAATATGCCGGTAACTCGGTTCGAAATCTAGCAATTTTTTAGCTTCACACTCCTCGACCGAATGCCGCAGAGCAACTCTTATCACCTCTCGGTTAGCGTTGGAGTAATCGTTTGCCAAGACCTTATAATTTGCAAAACTAAAGCAAGGGTTAGATCGGCAAAGACAATTCAAATTCAAAAAAAATTACACCGCGCTATGATGCTCACCAGCACTCCTGAAATTTTTATGTATGTACCAGCCCGGTATGGGTGCTTTGGTGTCTTCGTAATTCTCAGACACCCACAAGAAGTCATCATCATTCACCTCTTTGTCTGGATTGCTCTCTATGAGCTTTACTCGACCCTTTCTAACTTTGAGGTACCAATAGGAGCCTCCTTTATTTTTACTAAGTGTGTATTGATAAAATATCTCGGCGAGGCCGAGATTCAGACCAAGTATCCAATTCAGCGCAGCCACGCCGTTTTATTATTTTGTATGTATTGTTGGAGACTTGGGTGGGACACAACCTAGTTTGCCTCAAAAATTCGCAGACCAGGGGTTGGACTGGGAAACGCAAATCGCCTTCTACAATAGACACAACCATGAAGAAGCATTTGTCCAGCTCGCCCCAGGGAGTGTCTCCCTTCTTAGCCAGCTCCATGTGGACATCATCTGGAACGTTGTACTCTCTACGGAATTCAGCCATTGCCCTTGGAAAGCTGACCATAAAGCGGTATTTCCCCATCTATCCCGGTTTTATTTTGTAAAATGAACTGATTGTAGCTTAGTCAAATTGAGCTGCTCAGGTTATTATTTGCTCAGTCTTTGAGCCTCACCGATGTGATGTCGATGTGTGCCTGGTCGGTCCTAGTTCTACATTATTAAAAATAAGTGCAAGTGTTAACACAACAATGAGTGCATGGATCCCAAAGGCTTTCGTGTGCTAAACTTTGACACAGTTTGGATTTTGAACCAATCATGAAACCTAACATGTTAGGCTGGTTTTTGGCCAAGTCCTAATTGCTTGGCATTTATCTCGGCTGGATGATCCACCAAGTTTCAATGCGGACACTATCGCTTGGAAGATTCACAAACCACTTTCAGTTCGGCTCAATCCTATTTGAGGATCTAGATTGGGACCTAGCTCGATTTTTCTCAGAAATCAATTTGTTCATCCTAAATTTGAGGCTACACACAGAAGCTAAGAAAGACAAGGGGCACGATGGCCTTATATATGCTCTGGGTTCCAATTTTACTTAACTTCTACAGACGCCTATGATTTTGCCCCATGAGAAGAGCATTGACAGCATATCAATGGTCTCAAATGAAGAAAGAAAATGAAGAACACGAAGAACACAAAAATGGTGATGAAAGTAAGAGGGACTTACATATTTGAGTACCAAATCAGGCTCTAATCTACCTCGACCTTTGCTATGATGCTCGTTAAGGTGGAAAACTCTGGACATGATGCGAGCGAAGGCTATAGCAGTGGCGATAATAGCAGGGAAGGCAGAGACTCAAAGGGTTTAGGGTTTTGCAAGAGGAAGGTGAACAGTAATAAGGGGAGAAGGGCAAACCTTTTCTATATGTGAATGATGCGAAAGGGCACCAACTTTTCGAATTTCGGAGATAATGGGACAGCTGTAGGAATGCATAGAACTAGTCAAAGAAGGCCACGTGGCATTGAAAAGATGGTTTGTTAGTACGGCTGATTGATCGATGACAAGACTACTGGCGCAAGCCTCAACGACCGAACAAATCGAATAGCTCGGTTAGAATAGTAATCCCAATCAAGCTCAGCTCGAATGGGATTAAGGAGCAATTGAGAGCGAGATTTGCGCCGAATGACTAGCCGATCTATACCAACATTGGACATGGTGTTAGGCCTCAAAGAGAGAGCTTGGGGCACTGAGACTAAATTAGATCCGTACTGAGTGCGACGGAACGTTAAGATTGACCAAGATACACTTGACCGAGCTAAGGCAGAACATGTTGACAAACCAAGCTTGGCCCAGACAGATTATGGTGTTCGGCCGAGCTTGGACGAGCGGGCCCATAGACCGGATTGAGGTTTATTTGACCGAGTTATAAGTGGCTCGGACCGCAAAATGTAGAAATAGACGACCCTTGACGGTATGGTGGGAGGCTGAGATGCCGAGATGCCGCGCCCCGCGGCTTGTCGGCTTTGATGGATCGGTTTGATTTAGCTCGGCTATAGTTGTCTGTTGTGATGCCTGTCTCAAGTGATAGCTTGGTTGTGTAAGCTACTTGGACCAATGGTAAGAAAGGGGAAATCCACTCCTAGTATGCGTCAATACCGTTTGGCGGTTCGACAAACACTGTTTGGAGGTTTTGGTCTCTACACATGTAAGAAAGTAAAGAAGAGCACAGCCGCCTGCCCAGAGAAGGACAGCAGAGGTAGTGCGCCCACAATCTCTGAGGCTGCATGGCCAGCCTAGAAAAGGGAGGAACATGGAAACGTTAGGGGTAAGCAATCTAAAAGAATTTCCTACTCTCTCCGTAGTGCTCTTGATTCTCCTCTCCCAAGTGTGTTAACTTGATCGTCGGAGAGTTTATCTGACAGCACACCGCCGGGCAGCTCACCGTTTTTCTGTTCTCAGGTTAAGCGATGCTACGTGAAGCTTGAATCGAAGGAGTACGGAGAATGGAGAATATTTCACCCCCATACATATATCAATTAGTACATATAGCATTATTCTTTCACTACAATGTTCATAATCAATGTTTGTGGAAGTTTGATTCGGCAAAGAGTGAGTTGAAAGTTTGTACATTTTTTATCATACAAAATTTGAAATTCTGGTGGATAATATTTGTATTTTCAACTTTAAGGGCAGGATTGAATTTTAAAGGGGTAAAAAGATTACATAACTAATTTTATAAATAATTATAACTTCACAGAGGTCTGAGTCATATTTTCTCTTCTTTTTTTTTTAATTTATTTTAAAAAGGATTCGTATCATGCACCTTTTTTTACAGTAAAATTCTAAGTCTTTTTCATTTCATTGAAACTATGAAGTTTTTTTTTTTTTTTTTAGTTAAATGTTTTTACTTTTAAAATCTATAGATTTCAATATTTTTTAATATATGTCCAATAATTCAAGATATGCCATTAATATTTTGGCCTAAATCTAAGGGAAAAGGGATCACCTCAACGCCACACATGAGGCTCGACCTCACAACCTCCAATGGGTGTTGAAGACCATATCACTATGAATTTTATGTTATGTTTGGTTAGGAGATTTGAGGATGGATTTAGAAAGGAGAATGAAAAATGTGTTTAAAATTAAGTGAAATGTAACTATATTTTATTCATATTTCACCTTTCTTTTCCATTTTTTTTTCCAAATCATTTCTCAAATCTCCCAACCAAATATAACCTTAAATTATTAACAATAATGAATGGCTTCTTAATTTCTATTTGACTGTAAACAATTTGGCCAACCATCTACTTAATTTTCCTTATTATTTTTTAACAATTTGGAAACAACACATAACACATAACATCTAGGAAATCCTTCAACTTATATATGTAAAAATCGGACAATTTAATTTTTAACCAAACTTATTTTAAATTTAAAGAGAAAAAAAGAATTAAAAGGCATGATAAAAAAAAAATTATATACATAATAATTGTTTTGTGATAAATTTTCGATCAATTCGTTGTAGCACAATTTCTTTGGATATGTTAAAATATTCCAGGCTCAACTCCTGGCAATGGAAATTAGTTATTAAATCTGTTATTGTCTTGATGGTTTAAGGCCCAGCAATATCACAACAAAGATTTTAATACAATTCTCTTTTCTCGATTCTGGAATATTTTTCCGTCTCTTCTACATCTCTACAAACTACTCAATTTCACAACTTTAAAAATCTCTTTAAATTCTCTATTTATGCTCGAACTTAAGAAATCTTAATCTCCTTCTATACACTCCATTTCTATGTTGCTATAAAAGGAATCAAAGATTCATTAAATCCTTAAATTATTCATCATGCTAACCCTGTTTAGAGCTTAAAATGCTTGGAGAAGTCTCGTCATGCCCTTCTATACCTCAAACAAGTGGAATGTGAGTAAACCAGTTGTGGAAAAGCTACTAACATTACATTGTTGAGGTGTTCTGACAGGCACTTAGAACTGTAAAATGCAACAGAGTTTTGAAGTAAATAGTCATGTTCTACATAATAGCCTTATGTATTATTAGCCCTTCTCAAAGAGAAGTTTTGTCTTTTTTAACATCAAATGCAAATGGAAGAAACATGAAATCAAAGACACAAATGACACATACCACATCGAAAATAATCCATTTTTCTTTATAGTTGTGCTATGTGCAAAGAGAGAACGGGACACAAAATAGACAGATGTGAGACAAAAAGTTGTTTGCATTTGTAGTTGCAAACATGTTATCTCACATTTGTGTGTTCTGTGTTCGATACTCTCTATGTTTATAGACTTTTTGTTTTATTTATTGTGCGGTCATAACCATAGCCATTTACTAACTCAGTCTTGACTAAAGAAGCTACAAACCAGGCTGAATTGCCAAATTTAGAGCTTGAAATGTGTAAGTGCAGAATTCCCATCAAGACCTTTTGCACGAAAGTAGGCTACATAGTCCCTCACTGTGGTTTCCCGGTACTTGGGAGGATTCTCTTCCGATAACAACTCCTTAATAGGTCCATAAATCTTTGTTGATGGCAGAGAACCTGTGTGGAAAAAGCATGCCACTGATACTCTTGGGCCAACTTGGTTTGCCAGCACTCTGTGCTCAACACTTCTAAACTTGTCGTTTGTTATGAGCTGAAAAAATAAAACCATAAACAAAATCCAATATTATTTAGCAATTCACAAGATTATGTTCCATTTTTCATGCTACAAATGTTGCCAATATATATTAGGAAAATGATAATCATACTGAATTCATTTTAGATTCCAAACCTAAGTCCGGATATCATGTTAAATCACCAATTATCCAAAAAGTTTAAACTACTAAAAAATGAATCCAACAATGTACATCAAGCTATTCAATATATATAAGAAAATGTGTTTGTGAATCATTTACCATTATGAACTAGAGACTCGCCTGTAAGAGATCTCCAATGTTGACCACAAAAGCTCCAGGGGTAGGAGGGACATCAACCCAATGGTTCTGATGAAGAACTTGGAGGCCCCCAATCTGATCCTGCAGCAGCACAGTGAGGAAGTCGCTGTCGGAGTGCTTGGTCTGGCCAACAGTGAGCTCTGGCTGGGGGCATGCTGGGTAGTAATGGCCCAGAACGGCAAGTCCCTCGTTGCAGTCCATGTCGTTAAGGTGGTTTGGACTCAGCCCAAGAGCCTCTGACAGTAACTCAAACAAACAACACCCTAACTTCATCACTTGCTTTGAGTACTCCATTAGAATATCTCTGCAACAAAACTATACTAATCAATACTGGAGGAACACCTACAGTTCCGGAACTGGAAAACAAAAATCGTTTTAATTTTCTATCCGTGTGTTCAGTTGTTCCAGGAAAAGATAGGTCCTATCATAACTGTTTCTTGAAGTAAACACTTCCTCTCAAATACCTTACTTGAAAAAATAAATAAATAAATAAAAATACATAATCATCATAGCAAGAAAGTAAACTGTTTTCTTGAAGTAAACACTTCCTCTCAAATACCTTACTTGAAAAAATAAATAAATAAATAAAAATACATAATCATCATAGCAAGAAAGTAAATTGTTTTTATTATATACACCATCACTTTCAGAGGGCAGATAACATTTTCCAAATTTCACAAATAATCTATTTGGGGCAGCTTCTTGGATGGATAGTATGATTTTGAACATAATCCGTCTATATATATATATATATATTTAATGCGATTCAATTAAATGACTATCGATTTTTGATAAACTTAATTTTTTTAGACTGAGACTCCCTTGCATGATTGTCCTCTGATCATATAGTGGAGAGAAATTGTTCCCTTATATTTTCATCATATTACACAATTAGGAGTGTGAAAGAGAACAACAGTTTAGGTATAGAGATCCCAACCTTCAACTATGAATTGTTAATGGAGACTCTCCATAACAACCATAATATGCAGTTTGAGTATATATAAGAAAATATCAATTCGTGCATAATGGCCAATTTAAACTGTCAATTCGTGCATAATGGCCAATTTAAACTGTCAATTCGTGCATAATGGCCAATTTAAACTGTCAATTCGTGCATAATGGCCAATTTAAACTGTCAATTCGTGCATAATGGCCAATTTAAACTGTCAATTCGTGCATAATGGCCAATTTAAACTGTCAATTCGTGCATAATGGCCAATTTAAACGGCTAATTTTCCATCCTGATACCGTTATATGTCCTGCGATTTGTAACCGTACTAGTCACCTTTCATAACATACCTGCAAGGAGGGGGCAATTCCTCTGGATTTGGAGGTTTCGGAGCCATAAGACAATTGAAAGTGTCCCTCCAATTAGCAGCTGGTGCAGTAAATAAATCAAAATTGGTATGATACACCACAGCTTTCGTGAAATCTCTTGTGTACCATTGTTTTTTCACCTCACTGTCCTGCTCATAAAACCTGTGAACACCTTCCTTCATCTCCTCCAACACACTCACAGGAATTCCATGGTTCACCACCTGGAAGAAACCCCAAGTCTCCGAAGCCTCACAGACTTCGTCGACAACTTCTCTGCGCCTCACTGGATCTTTGTCGATGCCCGTGAGGTCGATGATTGGAAAACTGAACTGGGTATTGGTGGGATTGGTGGTTTTGTTGAAATTGTCTGGTGGTTGAATGAAAATCTTTGGAACTATGGCAATCCCAGCGTCGACTAGTCCTTTGACACCAGTTTTTGTGTCATCAAAAGCCTTTAAGTCTTGTGCTCTGTCATAGTGAGTTTCAATTTCAGCCTGAATTGAGGTTTTCATGGTGGCAGCCATTGATTTCTCTTGGAATTCTATGCTAGAAGTGATTGTTTGGGCTATAATTCAGGCAAGAAGGAATGCTAGTGAACTGGGGAGAATGTAGTGTGTCTACACTTGATGTGTGTGGTGCAGAAATTTTAGTAAGTTATAATTTTTTGGATAAATTACAGTCACGTCCCTTGAGGTTTCTCACAATAATACTGACCTCTCTCTTTTTTTTTTTTTTTTGAAATTACACTGACTTCTTTTGAGGTTTACTTTTGAATTACAGATTGCCCCATTTTGTTAGTTGACCATTAGTTTAACTAACCATTTTTTATTCTTTTTTTAGAAAAGTCAGTGATTAGTTCTTAAATTAGTACATGGGGGTATTTCAGTTTGGTTTGTATAACCTTTGATGTAATTATCCATAAATTAGGAATAAAAGAAATTAATTAATCATTTTTTAGATAAATAAATTAGTATGAATTATTGAAGACAAATGAAAAATGTAAGAACTTGTATGTATTTAATGCAATGAATTATATATATATATATATATAGTTTTTGAGTTTGCTGTTAAAATAAGATAATAAAAAAAAAACTAATCCAATTATTGTAATCGTATAGTTTCAACATATTTATATTTAGAAAATGAAAGATAAGTGTGAATTTGAAAATAAATGTAATATATAAAATGAATATACTTAATGAATCAATTTGATTTTTTTTAATAGATAATCTACATGCAAAATTTTTAAAAACTATCAAATCAGATAATAAAAAAAAAACTAATCCAATTATTGTAATCGTATAGTTTCAACATATTTATATTTAGAAAATGAAAGATAAGTGTGAATTTGAAAATAAATGTAATATATAAAATGAATATACTTAATGAATCAATTTGATTTTTTTTAATAGATAATCTACATGTAAAAATTTTAAAAACTATCAAATCAATTTATCAAAGTGAAATCTGTAGTAAGCTCACAAGTTGAAATTGAGAACCGAAAGATAACCCTAATTTTTTCTTTTGAGCTGGTTTACAAATCCAAAATTTTTATCTAAAATCTCATCCAAAAACATAAATGTGTGGTTTAAATTCATTCAAACTGCACAATACATTAGTTTAATTCAAACCACAAGTTTTTATTTTGGTTAATATTTAGGACCAAATTTCTTGGTCTCTAGCTTAGTTTTTTTCTTTTGGATAAATTACAAATACACCCCCTGAGATTTGCTTAAAGTACAAATTGTCCCCTGTAATTTGAAAAATTACAAATACCCCTTGTCAAAAAATTTTATTTAATAGAATTAATTAAAATAAAGAAATTCATAACTGCTCTCCTATACAATAATAAAATTACCTAAATTATTAATTGAAACATATTTATAACATCATTAAAAAAATTTAATTGACTTGATGATTTATTAATAAAATGAGAGATTTGTTATGAAATTAGAAATCTCAGGAGTGAAATGTAATTTCTAGAACTACAGAGGGCGATTTGTATTTTAATCAAATCTTAAGGAATGTATTTGTAATTCACCATTTTCTTTTACTCTCCCACCTAATCTTTTGTTTGGGATTGCTGTTTTTTTTTTATTTTTACCCTCTTTCTATCCTATTATACTATTACTGTTATTCGTTAGTTTGTAAATCATAATTCAATTAATTGAAAATGAAAGTTTAGTATAATTTTTCATATGTATTAATTAATTTGTTGCTGCTTTATTTGTATATAATAGCATAATATATAGAAATAATCTCTAAATATAATTTCTATTTTTTTATGTGATTAAAATAGTCCATTTTAAAAAAGTATATAGAAGAGTTAGATGGCTTCTTTTATCCCCAAAAAACCGAATTTATTTTTTTTATACTTTTTAATTTTTTAAATTGAAATATCAATTGTTTATGTTCACAAAACAAAATTGATAAACACATATCTAAAAGTTACACATTTTTTTTCTTTTTCTTTTTTTTAATATGTAGGATATTTACAAATGAAAAATGTTTGACACCTTAAAAACTTTCTATAATCTGACTTATAATGATGTGATCATAAGTGTAAATATAATTCCAATTAAGAGAATTTTCAACCGTTAATATTTTTTTTCTCGAATTATAATTTGATAAAAATTTAAAAAGATGAAGCGTTGAAAATTATTGATAGAGTTTGGTAGAGTTTTAAAATTATGATCTGAGAATAGAGTTGTATTTTAAATTTATGAGTTTTGGAATTATGATTTGAAAAGAGAAAATTTGTTTGGTTATGAGTTTTGAGAAGAGTTTTGAATTTTTGATGTGACATGTGAAAAGAAAAAATTTGTTTGGTTATGAGTTTTAAAAAGAGTTTTCAATACTTAATTGAAAAACTTATAACTTACAACCAAACATACAACTCCAAACTTTATTGAAAATTCTATTCAAAAAAATAATTTGTCATTTTGGTTTAAAAAAATAATTTATATATTTAAAAAATATCAAAAACAAATATGTTTTTTCTCAAAAAACAAGTGGCGATTGACAATTGCTAAAAAAAAAAACAAAACAAAAACAAAAAAAAAGTTACTGTTCCGGTCAACCTGTCGGACAACCGAGTAGACCAAAAATTCAAAAATTCTTCTTTACCAAACATGTACAAAAGAGAGGGTAAGTATAAGAAGGTGAGAGCTTTGTTTGGAAGGAGTTCTGGCAAACGTGAAAGAGAAGTGTGTTTTGAAATGTGTGGTGGAATTAATTTTTGAACACCCCATCCAAAAAAAGGCTTGAAGAGAAGGGGTGGAATTATGATTAGAGTGCTGCACCAAACACATTTTCATCAAAATTGATGAAAAGAAAGAAAAAAAAAAGGGATAAAAATGAAAGTTCTTTTAAAAATTGATAAAAATTTAATGAAAAAGTTAAAGTAATTCATATTAAATCAATTTTTTTAATCAAATTTAAAATCAAATTAGATAGAAAAAATTAAAAGAAAATAATGAAACCTTTTCATTCTTAATGACTAGAAATTTGTGTGCGTGTTATATTCATATTGTATTTTTAGTTATGAAATTAAAACCATAAGAAATGTAACTTAAATTATTGGATTAATAACATAAACATCATATCAATTATTCTTAAATATCACTTCACTTCACATTTAATAATAAAATTGTATACTTGTCTTAATTATAATTTTTAAATTTGACTATTTTCATTACAAGAAGAGGTATATCATAATCCATGTAACTTCATTTAATTAGGTTTAACTTTTTTTTTTATTACAAATTATCAAAATTGCACTAAATAGATTTATATATATATTTTTAATTTTTTTAAACTAATAATTTAAAAATTTATAAACATAAAAATTAACTTATAAATTTCATGTATACCACAAGACAAAATATTAAATTACTTCAACATATTTATAACAAATTTTTTTAAAAAAATTTATAATGTCCCATGCATAGCACGGGTTACCACTAGCTATTAGGAAAAAGAAAAAGACTAGAAACTTTTTTTTTTTTGTCACAGGAAAATCCTCCCTACTCTCCCGTAGGTCCAATGCAGCGCCCTTTGCAGAGATCACCAATGTGTCCTGTTAGCCGTTCCAAGCGAGGAGACTATAACCTGGGAACTTGCCCCGACCTTCCAAGACGAGCTCTGCTTAAGTCAGGACTCGCACAGTGAAAGAGCATTGAACCCACACCAAGTGCTGATTAGACAACTTGACGTCCAACCTCCTAACCAACTGTGTTTTGCCCAAGAAATTGGCCCAGAGAAAGGAATTGAACCGGTAACCTGGGGGCAACTAGACCCTTTTCATTGGTGAGACAAAGATTATTGGGAAAAGACTAGATCTGTTCTATTATTGGGAGACACAGATTTGGAAAAAGAAAAAGACTAGACCCTTTTTATTGGTGAGACAAAGATTATTGGAAAAAGACTAGGCCTTTTCTATTATTGGGAGACAAAGGTTATTGGAAAACAAAGATGGTATCCTTTCTATTAGGAAAAAGATTGAGGCCTCGAATGCCTTGAATTTTTTTTTTTTTTTTTTTTGGTTTGGTTGTTTATATATATATATATATATATATATTGTATTTATTTATTTATTGGGCTATGTTAGTTTGGTTGTTTTTATTTATTTATTTGTTGGGCTGTTTTTTTTTTTTTAAGGGTGGTTATGTGTAGGGGTGGGTTTAGGATTTAGGGTTTTAGGATTTAGGACTTAGAGTTTAAGAGGTTTAGGGTTTTAAGGTTTAGGGTTTAGGACTTTAAGATTTATGGTTTAGGATTTTAGGATTTAGGATTTAGGGTTTAGGGTTTAGGATTTTAGGGTTTAAGATTTAGGGTTTAGGGTTTAGGGGGTTTGGGATTTTAGGATTTAGGATTTAGGGTACACATAATCGAGTTCATATCCCCTCCTTAACTTCTCTCCTTAATTTCCTACTGGCAACGGCTGAGATCAGCCATTGCAAATCTAACAGCTATAAAAAATAAAAAATAATAAATAAAATAAAATAAATACTAAATTGAAATTTCAGTAAATTTCCCGCCCAAAGCTATACAGGTGATACAGATTTTGTTTTGGACTCACTCTCACAGAGCCTCACACTTACCCTTTCTCATCCGTCAAACCCACTCTCACCGGCGACCCACTCTCAATGGCGACCCACTTCTGAAACCCAACCAATGAAAGTGGATTGATTATGTCTACTTCGCAAACCAAAGTCGTCATGCTCTTCTCCTCCACCTCACCGAACCCGTCGCAACGGCGACCCTCTCTTCGGCGACCTGTAACGCTCCCAAAATAATACAATAAAGATAACTCATATGCGGAATAAATATGAGAAACAACATACTTTCATATATCAGAGTTCACTGTTTAATAACCAGTTAAATGCCATGTAGGCTTACATCTTTCCAAGTCATTGCTTGGTTACACAAATTGAGTCTCGCTCATTACATCTTAAGCCCTTGGCTTTACAAATAACAAACATACACACATAAGGCATAATTAAGAAGCTCTTACTTCCCGAAAGTCCATCCACGCTATTGCCTTGAAGGAACCATTTCACCTGCACCTGAAAATGATATTCCCATATAGGGTGAGCCAACAGCCCAGTAGAGATAATCTAACACAATATATGAGGTTT